TCATCTTTTGACCCGGCCCCTGGAATCTGTGATATTTACATGACCTTACCAGTGAATGAAAAAAAAAAAAAAAAAAATATGTGTAGATATTGATCGGTGATGGTGGAAAATCTATAAAATGGCAGCATCAAAGCATCAAACTTGGTCACTAAAAAGGATACCCCTTTGCCCAGGTGTGTAAAAAAAAAAAAAAAAAAATATGTGTAGATATTGATCGGTGATGGTGGAAAATCTATAAAATGGCAGCATCAAAGCATCAAACTTGGTCACTAAAAAGGATACCCCTTTGCCCAGGTGTGTGAGCCTGTGAGTCTGGACATAGGGATTGGACCATACAAAAGTCTAAGTCCAGCAATATGGAGTCCCAAAGTATTCAATATTAAAAAAAATATAAGACATTATGACATAAATAGTGTCATAATTTAATATAATTGTGTAATTTAATTACATAAGATTGTCTTTTTGCTCATTATACAGAGCACGATGACTAGCTGCATTGCACGTGCAGCCTTGTTTAGCATAAAGCATCTGTGTCTGTGTAATGTGGTCATCTGCAGGAGAAGCTCATTGGTTGATTCAGATTTATTAAGGCACTGTTGTTACTCTACCTAGCTGACTGCCCACATGTTGCAGCACTTGTTAAGCTTGTGTAAGCGAGGCAGGAGGCATGTGACTGGCTGAAAGATGAGGGGGCAGTGATTGGTGACAACAACAAGCAACATTATGAAATTAAAACGCCGATAATGCAACGGTAAATATGAAAATAAGCATAATGAAATATCGTTTAAAACTAATGACGTGACCTTCATTTCCTAAATTGTGTCACAAAGTATTGGTTTATTTAAATGTTTTACACAATTTAAGCTAATGGTTATTTCATTATGTCTTAATTATTTAATATTGAACACTTAGTGCCTGCATGCTACAAGACTTACATATGGTTAAAAACTGTATATTGATTCCTTTTGACAATGGCTTCTCCCTGAGCTCAACCTCAGTGTTATTGCTGGATTATAATTTAAGCATTAAGTACACTTAAGCACTAAGTACTTTACACTTGCAGCCCAAGGGAAGTTCTTTAAGAGTCTAGACTACCAACAGAAAATAGCTATATTTGACATCTTAGAGGAGCTGGTAGTCCCCACAGATACATAGTATAAAATATGCTTTTTTATTTAATTATTTTTTTTATAAAAGCAGAAAAGTACATTTATGTAAGTTTGTTTTATTCTGTTGCTATAAAAAACTGTGGGCTGGGTCCTCAGTGATGCGAGGGAACTATTCATTAAAGTGCTTACCTGTCAACACTCATGAGACTGTGGTACTTTTACATTCAACTTTAATTGGTCCAGCGTTAATGCTAACGTAGGATGTGTTTTTGTGCACACCACATGCTCTCATAATACATGTCCCATATTTATAATAACATGGCATGTTTGTCACAGCTTACAGAGGTGGGCGCCAAGAAATCTGGAGAAACGGTTTGGCATTTTAATTGATTCTAGCTTGTTTGTAGCATCCTGCCACCACTCTAGTTTGCAAAAGGTTTGGAAACCAATTAAACGTGTTTGCAGAAGCAAACATTTTTAATTTACTCTTTAATTTATTTCATTTCCATTGCTTATTTCTTAGTCTGTGTAGTTGCACTGCCGTAGAGTGAAAGAGGCAGTTGCATTTGCACTTTTTACTGTGTCTTGAGGTTTGTCTGATGGGATCTTAAGTGAATTTCAATGTGGTTTCAGTCCATCTGGATATGGTGTTCATAGGACTGCACCTGGCACTAACAAGAGTTTTTTTAGAGCTCTCACTAGCAAGAAGTTTATACTTTGCTCCAGTCTGGGCTGAGCTGAAAGGAGCTCATCTTGGACTTCTTGAGTAATGAATTAAAGTAGGTTGTTTGAATTCACAACTGGCTAGCCTGTGGGGCTGTTCTGTTTCAAACTATAATTCATGGAATCATAGCCTCAGAACATGATAACTGCCTTTCAGTCAATCTGCTCTACATTTGCATTCATTTGCTGAGCTTTCCAGCTGCCAAATTAGTCACTCCTTGTCTCTGCTGGAAACATTTTAATCTTCAAAAACATCACCTGAAGCACAATTATGTCTCTGTTGCACCAAAAGCAGAGGGGACAGAGTGGGGGTTAGTCCGAGCCGCGACCACGCATGACATCCCTAATAACATGGGTATAATGAAAGGCTACGTGCTATACTCCAACATCAAAAGCTATTGTCTAATTTTGGCCAGCGGGATGTGACAAATCCGTAATTAAAATAGCAAGCTGAGTGATAAAACAAAGCCACTTGCTGGGAGACAGCGGATCCGGATAGATATGGATCTGTCATTAGGCTAAAGAATTGTCCTTTGCCTTTTCTGCCTTTATCTCCCTAATGCGGCTATATTTCCCCGGGATTGGTCTTTTTCAGCCCTGGCGTGAAAAAAAAAAAAAAAAGCTGATCTCAACGAACGACCTAATCAGTCACGGCTCGCCTGTTTACCGCAACCAAAGTCGAGGCCACAGGTTCATCCAGGAGATGATCCAATTGAATGACAGCACTTCATGTTTTTAAATTGGCATGTCAATGACAACTATGCTGACACTTTTCTCGTAATACCACCCAATCTCTGCAGCTTGTTTACAACTGCATGTGTACGGGTTGCCAGTTCAACCGGGGGGCAACTACAATAGGATGATATTCATGTTATTTTTTCATGTTTTGTTCTTGCAGTGTTGGAATAACAGCAGAGCTTCGACTGTGAGATACTGTGTGCTCAGTCTTAACTCTGTTCTGTGTGACTAGAACTATTAAACTGATGGTACACTATATATGTGAACTGTACATATATATTTGGCAGAATTGACTTGGAGATCAAACACTCATGAATAATACATCTGTTAAGGCCAACTGGAATCACTGGTGTGAGCTCTGCAGCAGGTGATTTCCCATTACATGCAGCTGTTTTAACAGGAGCCAGCACAACCAACAGCAGCAACAGACTGTTCCTCCTCCTCCTCCTCCTCCTCACTGTTATTGTTGGAGCTGGTTTCAAAATGCACAGAGCCCGACAGCTAGGAACACTATAAATTACGCAGGAGACTGGTGGTGGGAGCGGACTGGGACTGACCATCACATTAGTGAACTCCTGATGGACCAAGGTAAGGAGAAGCGTGAGTGTGTTTAAATTTATGTGCACTAGAGTGACTTATGCTGGACTGAACCGGGGAGGTGTGTGTGTGTATGTGCGCACGTGTGTAATTGTCCCGTCACCACGACAGGATCAGTCGGGGTCCAATCGTAAATCGAGACAAACTGGCAGCAAGCTATTCTCCTGGATAAGAGGCTTTCAAGTAAATGAATGAATACATTATGGATTGGTAGCCTAGCATCAATAAAGCGGCCATACTGTATGTGAGCAGAATGAAGCTGCAGGACAGTCAGGCTTAGTAAGACCAGCAGTGCAATGGGGACCCAAGGGTCCATGAGGGCACCCAAGGGACCCCTGACTAAAGACACTTATCAAACCATAGATAGATAGAGCAAAGTAAGGTGAGAGATAAGCAAATTCATTCTATCTACAAGCCCACTAACAGTACACCTACATCCACATACATGCACAGATTTATTTCCCCTGTCATACACCTACACACATACTGTAGATACACACATGGACACATATAGAAATTTCCTTTCCTCGTCTGTATGTGTCCTCAGGGTAAAGAATACATTTATATTCAGTGAATGATCGGCAGAGGCAGAAGCCGTTCAGAGCCATTTTGCTTTTCTAGCCGCTGGCAGAAAGCACTGGCCATTATGACCTTGTGATGAATTCAGGGTTCATTTCCTTTTTTTGTAATGCATGCACATAGAATTAAATCTAGAAAAAGACAAGGGATGCAGCATCCTGAGAGGGATAACATTCTTTGAAGACAGCACCAACACTGCCATTGTGCACATCCGCCGTCTCCACTTTCAATTCCAGGCGCACGGTAATCGGGAGAAAGTTTCATTTGTGCCCACTGTCATTTATTCATTAGCTTGCAATCAGATCTCCTGTGCAAGGCATGAGACGTTATAAATCAGTCACCGGCTGGCCATTAACAATTCATGCAATTCATAAAACATAAGAGCCGTCATTTATTTATCACCTCTAAATGGGATTTCCTTCCCTCTCATTGGCTCTGACTCAGGAGTCAACTTCTGTTAGCCTGACCGACGGCCATTTTGAGAGCGAGCCAAAATGTATACGATTCAGATCCGAGTTTAAAGGCGACCAGGATAACCTGATCTCACGTGCTGCCGTTCAGACAAGACGAAGTGGCTTTTCGCTGACTGAATCCACTCGATGTGACTGGTATCATGAGGAAGGGAAGCAGCAGGCACCAGGCTGTCGTTGGCTGCTGGCACAGTTGTTTTCTGCTGATTCTCTTGAGCAGTTGATGTAATTGTGAGTAATTAGGCCTTAAAGTGGTCTTGTCTTTCCCCAACCTGGAACATGAGTCCCAGGGGAGAGTGAGGGATGGGGATGGGGGTTGGGAGGGGGGCTGTTTGAACACCAGTTGCTGGTATACAGAAGGCTGCTTTTGTCTAAACAGATCCTATATGAAGAGCCTGGAACTGGGCCAGCAGATGCTAACACCATATGATCACACTGACTCTGTAGATGGCACTGAATTACACTATTGCCCCGAGGGGCCACGGCTCTTCTCATAGTAAAGATAAACAGCAAATTACAATGACGATGCAACAGTTGGAATGAGCCTAATAAAGATGTGGTGTTTGATATCTGGCTCTCAGACTAGATGGTGCACTTCACTTTACAGTCCATAACACTCTGTGGGAGTTTGTGTTTCTTAAGTGCCTTACAGTTTTAGTATACTTAGGGTCATGCTTAAACAACTGGAGCTCAAGGGTCTCTCCATAAAATTAAATAATGTGTGGTAATGTTCACCAGTACTAACGAGGGTCACGCCACAAGTAGAAACTTTACAGGGACTTACGAGTGGTCGGCTTGTTGCAGTTGTGTCCGTGCCTGAAGTACTGAGGATTCTCCACCACAGGAATACGAGTCATCCCTATGACAACGGCATCAGGACCCGCATCCAGAGTACAGGGGGTAATAATCCCATGGTTGACGTGATGAAGAGGGCTGGCAGAGTCTTCTTCACCACTGATCACAGCTACTGGACCTGGAAGAACAAAAGAAAGATGAGTTATTTAACAGTTCAGAGTCTAAATGATGAGCTCAAGCCGAGCTTATCTGACTTGTACAATAATACTTTTGGTCTGTGTCATTGTCATGTACAGTATGACAACATATTTGATGACTGAAATATAAATGCAGATACAAAAATAGAAAATGCACTCATTGTTGCTTCACTGTGATGTTTGAGCTTCACTGCACAGAATCATGTATGTGCAGAATTTAACACTAGAGGCTATGAAGTTCTCTCATTCATCTTCTAAAGGGAAAGTTTTCTTTGAGCTCAACATGCATGTGCAATCAGTTTTCAACCCTGGGTCTTCAAATACCGACACTTTGTCATGCCCCCTCAGCATCTGATTTGGATGCACAAGGCACCCTTTATTGCCTGTATGAGACAAAAAGCAGTCTCCTCAATGAAACACACATTATAACTTGTGGTAAACCTTTGTAAAACAATTGTGGTTAGGCATAGACAACAAAGCTCGTTGGTTAGGTGTAGGAAAGAGATCATGGTTTGGGTTGAAATAAGTATGTTTGTTACAGCGTTATGTAAGGCAAAACTAACAGGCATAAATACATAATGTAACTACTTCATGTATGGGATGTACATGATGTTACACTAGAATAAGTAAAATTGACTTTTGGTTTCACACTGGACATAAACAGCAGTCTCCCAGGTGAAAGTCCTGTGTTTCCCTACCAAAGCTTTGTCCCTCTTTACGGCAGGTAGGTATTAGGTTTACATTAGGGTAAACTGAAAGCCTGTTGCTTCCGATACACACACTAAGGGGGGCCTTGTGCGTCAGTATCAGGGTGTGACAAAAGGTCTGTATTTGACAGCCTGGAATTGAGACCAAAGGCCTGTACTACAAAGCCATTTCAACTTACACAAGATATATATGCATTATCTGGCTTGATTAACCCTAACACTGGACGTCTGGACAACCAGTATTACTAAGGTGGTTATCAACAGTTCAGTCAACTCTGGGTTTTCCTATCCAGCCACGTGAAAGAGGCAGGGGTGTTAAGAAGGAGTGACATCATTAGAACCATAAATGAAGTAGGTTGCTTCATATCATATGAGATGAAACGGTACTGAAAATATCTGCAGCTGTGAGACAGTAAAATGTCAGTGGCATGGGATGTAAACAATAGTCTGTAATCCTATAATGAAGATGTAGAAATATTGAAAATATCATCTTAAAAGTCACTGAGACGTAAATTATTAGTATCACTAGGCTATATGTGACATTAGTATATAGGTTTTTTTTTTTGCTATTTAGTTGGATGATGATGAATATGTCACATGAAACACCTTAAAGTAATGCAAGACTGTTTCTGCTACTGAGGAAAGGGTGGAAAAGTAACCTATTCAATGACTGATGAGGTCTAGCTGACTGAAATGTAGCCAATTAACACAATGTGGATTATTTTTCTAATAAAAGGTTTTTTTCCTCCCATTCTCATTACACAGGTGTCTCGTTATTTTGAACTGCAGTGATGGAATCAGAGTGTAAAGGTTAAAATACTGCTCAAATCATGTTTTCAGTGTTGTAAACGATCTCTCTGTTTGTTAGAAGTTCTATTTAAAAACCAGTGGAAACAGAGCCCTGAAACAATGGAATGACCACTATTAATGTTGACCTATAACAATATATAGGCTCCATGGACACTTTTTTCTTCAGTGATCTGACTGGTCAGGGGTCGGGGTGTTGACAGGCTGTGATCTAATACTCCGAACATAATCCGTTACCTCACCAGGGTAACCCATTACCCCGGTGAGTTATCCCTGTAAAAAGAGAACCAGCTTCATAGTGCTGAAAACCTAGAGTTGACCCTTAAGTTATCTTGCTAACTCCAAATCCTGCCTCATAGTACAGGCCTCAGGCTGGTATGTAGAAGCATGACTTTGTATCATCACAGTTTTGAAGGTCAAGTGGGGTCCAGTATGCAACTTACACAAGTGTGATGTGGAAAGTAGGCTGAGGGCTTTTCAGTAAAGTAGGAGACATCTTGTATCAAGCAGTTATTTGCATATTCACAGATTCTGGATATTTCAATGAAGGAGGAGGCATTGATGGAATTTTTAATAATATGAACTTGGGAAAACCATACCAGACATAGTCAGCTTAATCAAATGACATACAGGTTACTGTTGTAGTGATAGGTGGTTTGTTTTCAGTGTTCTACCACAGGCCAGTGAAAATAAGTATGTCTGTGGCTAGTGTTCAGGGTGGATGCTGCAAAATGACTTCATTTTGCACACTGAACCTACCCATATGAACTCAAATCTATGGCTGACTACTGCAAAGTATTATGAATGACTTTTAATAAAGAAAAGAGATGTTGTTCTTGTTGTTGTAGAAACCTTGGTTTGATGGACATAAGAATTAACTGACAGTTGGCATCAACACATCTTTAAACATGTAAAAACAAAAACAACTTAATTATTTGCCCATTTTTTAAAATCTTTTTCATGGGAGAAAAACACTTTCATACAATTTTGAAAAACCTACATGTGTTAAAAAAGAGACAAGTCTGGTTAAATGAAAAGGACTGTTTACCACAAATGTTTTAAAAAAGTGACACACAAAAGTGGTGTGTTTTTTCTTAGTCATTTTCTGTGTTTTAATTCATCAAATGGTGCTACAATCAAATGTCAAATTAGTCAATGTATGAAAAGATTAATTTGTTTATTCTAAAGCTGAAACTATCAGTTGATTGACAGAAAAATGTACCTACAACTATTCTGTTGATCCATTAGTTGTTTCAGTCATTTTCCAAACAAAAAAGCCTCTGGTTCCAGCTCATTAAACATTATTATTTGGTGCTTTTTAAATATTATCATGTATTATTGTGAACTGAGTATCTTTGGGGTTTGGACTGTAAATCTGATAAAGCAGGCAATTTGAATATGTCGCCTCGGGCTCTGGGAAATTGTACCAGTATTGTCTGACATTTAGAGACAAAACGAGTAATTGATTAATCAGAAAAAAATAATTTGCAGGTTAATACAAAATGAAAATAATCTTTAGTTGCAGCCCCAGTTTATTAATTGATTCATCTGTTCTTTCATGTTTCAGTCCACAAAATTAGATACTCAATCAAAATACATATTTGTTTAAAGCACTGACAGTTAAATGTATGGTGTCATAAAACACATTCCTGTCAACCAACTGTAATTTCTCTAATCAAATTTAAAAAAAAAAAGGCCCTGACATGATTTACTGTCAGCCAATGTGATCCAGTTTCCTGTTCTGTCACTGCTGTGTCTGAAGCAACACACAGCTCTGACAACTGCAATCTTCAGAGGGGAGGGAGGAAAGAAACAGCAAGTGGATAAAAAGTCAACAGCCAACAGTCGCTGATTCAGTGGAGCTGTGACAGTCAATCCGTTTCCCCACAAAGTTGAATCTCTCGCTCACCTTGACAACACAGTAAATAGTAATCAAGACCCAGTCATGTCAAATTATAGACGCTGAGCGGCGGGGAGGCGGGGTGTGATGAAGTGACACGTGAGCATCAATTTATTTACAACATTTGCTCTTATGCAGGGTTTTCATAGCTGAGCACCCGCTTTATTGGAGAGATGTGCACAGCAGAGCACAGGTCCTCACCAGGCGACTACCTTCCCAACCACGGGGGACAAGTGGCACACTACAGCCTTAAATCTCTTGCGATACCTCTGACCCTCCACTACACAGCACAGACAGATAGATATATGAGCAGTAAAATACTTCAAACATCACTACACACGAAATAAAATCATTACACAGAAAGTTATGCTGAGCCAAAGGTAGAAATCTTTAAAAAAAAATGAGAAAAGATACCTCAAAAGGATCCTAGTATTATGCCCTGCTTTTTAATACAATATGAATTGGAATGAAAACCCATCTGGTCAGACTCCAGTACCAGATCGATGAGGCCTCGAGGAACGCTTGGCCTCCCTCCAAACCGCTGCACTCAGAACTACACAAAACCTCCCCCTTGATTCTTTGGGAGATGATGGTTTTCTGAGGAGTGAAGGGGAAATTGGACTTCTTGACTTCAGAACATCCAAAAAAAAATTGCATTTATGTTACCTGGGTGATGAAAAGGCCCAACGGCCTCTGAGAGGGTTTTTATCTTCTGAGACGTTGCCTGTGCACAGAATGGAATTGGAACAGGAAGTGGGCATTTCCCCCCGAAACATCTATATGAGAGTAAAGTTCCTCTCTATTAACCAACTTTGATTTATTCAGGAAAACTGTACAATGAAATGAGCCAACTTTCGGCTATTTTGCCCATTCTTTTCATCTCTCATCTCTTTCACAACTTTTTAAGTGGTAATAAGGTTCATACAGAAGGTAAATTCAGCCGTGCCACTGGGTCTAATTCAGACCTTGACTAAGGACTTTGTATAGTTTTTGGTTCTAACTTTTCTGTTCTTTAAGTACTACAGTCTTAGGATGAAGATGTAAGGATAAATATGTAAACTTGCACATCTGCCCTCACATCATCTCAGTATCCATCTAACGATACATCAGACAGCTCTAAGTCTGTCTGTCAACACCTGGCATCAGAATGCGTCTCCACATGCGGCTAAAGTGACCACTTGTGATCAGATCTTACTTCCATGCTCTATATGCACATAAACACTTACATCATTTCTGACAACAAACACAAAGTTTTTGTTGTTAATAAAAGGCAGTTTAAAAAGTAAAACTATGTCCCCATGTTACCTGTGTCTATGGCCACAACATAAGACCATAGATTATAGCCAACTTTCATTGGATGGAAAAAGACAATGCTGCAAAATGCTATGTTTCTCAACCTACCACTCAGTAAAACTGAGAAAAGCAAACTAGACCTATAAACTGGGAAACAATTTACATCCATCATCCATACATAGTTATATTTTATAAGTGACTACTATTAGAGCATCATACATACTGTTTGTTAGGGTTGGGTGACGTCCAATGAATTGGCATATGACGATGTCCA